ATGACATACCGGAGTGCGCCGCTAGGGTAGAAGGACAGGGAGGAGAACGGACACCTTGTTGCTCTCCCCTATTTACTTGTTTTTGACCTGCGATAGCAACATTGTATGATGTCATATCCGGGTTCCGTTGATTGTTTTCCACTGACCAGCATGGCAGGGAAAGAATGTAATACAGTGCAATCTGTATCTGAATAGACCTTCTCTGTAATGCTAACTGATGACCTATGGGGGGCTTTTAAATAAGTTTGTGCCTATAGAAAAATATAGGGTACTGAAGTTTGGCTCCTAAATTTTTCAGCTGGCTCCCAGATTCAAAGCAAACTTGTCAAGCCCTGCATTACAACACTAGTATGATTTTAATTTTTACATAACTAGGTTAATTCATTTTTTTTCTAGCTGCCTGGCAATTGAGTTATCAACGGTATTTTCATGAAGTTTTTGGAAACAATATTATATTATTATATATCTAGTGATATGTATCTACACTTTTTTTTTTTTTTAACTTGACAGGTAAACTCATGCTCCACTCTTTTTAAAAGAATGTCCTCAGGCTTATTCAGCAATAGACTGAAGATCACCTTTCATGTTTTTTTAATGGAAGTACATACTATTAATTATAAATATTAGAGGTTTGTGAACCTTTTAACAGCTGTGGCCTTTTAGTGGTGATGAAGTGTAAATCAAATGTTGAGCATTGCGGGTGGATGACACAGCATGCCAGTATGCACCTTGTGGTTTGAATGTAGCAATGTGTAGACTAAATCCTTTGTTTGACTGTGCTTTTTTTTTTGTTTATTGCACACAAATCATTTTTTACATAATTTCTTTAGAAATATTGATCATTTTGTATTAATTTTTTTTTTTTACATGTTTATTTGTCCCATTCAAATTTATATTTTTGGTGGAAATACTGTAAATGTCTCCAATGACTGGCACAAATGTTTCATTTTAATTAATGACTCAGTAATTTTCCATTCATTGCAGTCATTTCAAGAATGTAAAGATGATTTATTGTTTCTATTAAAATATATGCACCATCACTGTTCGCCCTCTGGTAATACTTATACAGTTTCTTCAGGAAACCTACAGCTACAGTTGCAAGAAAAAGTATGTGAACCCCTTGGGATTATGTGGAGTTTTGCATGAATTGGTCATAAAATGTGCTCTGAATGTCATCTAAGTCACAACAATAGAAGAACACAGTCTGCTGAACATAATACTACACAAACATTAGATGTTGCCATGGTTTAATTGCACATAACATGTAAACATTCACAGTGCAGGGAGGAAAAATTATGTGAGGCCCTAGCTTAATGACTTCTCCCAGAGATAATTGGAGCCAGGAGTGAGCCAACCTTGACTCCAATCAGTGTGATGATATTGGATGTGTTGCTGACAGCTGTCCTGCCCTTAAAAAAACACACACCTGTTTTGGGTTTACTGGTTTCAGCTAAAGACCTACAGAAATCTCTGGCACATGCCAACATTTTTGTTGACACATCTACAATAAGGAAAACATTAAACAAGAATGGAGTACATGGGAGGACACCACGGAGGAAGCCATTGCTGTCCAAAAAGAATATTGCAGCACGTTTGAAGTTTGCAAAAGAGCACCTGGATGTTCCACAGCACTACTGGCAAAATATACTGTGGACAGATGAAACCAAGATTGAGTTGTTTGGGAAGAACACACAACACTATGTGTGGAGAAAAAAAGGCACAGCACACCAACATCAAAACCTCATCTCCACTGTAAAACATGGCGGAGGGAGCATCATGTTTTGGGGCTGCTTTGCTGCCTCAGGGCCTGAACGGATTGTTGTCATTGATGGGAAAATGAATTCCAGAGTTTATCAAGACATTTTGCAGGAAAACGTGCGACCATCTGTCCGCCAACTGAAGCTCCGCAGAGGATGGGTGATGCAACAGGACAATGACCCAAAACATACAAGTAATTCAACAAAAACAATGGCTGCAACAGCACAGAATACGCCTTCTGGAGTGGCCCAGTCAGAGTCCTGACCTCAACCCGATTGAAATGCTGTGGCATGACCTTAAGAGAGCGATTCACACCAGACATCCCAAGAATATTGCTACACTGAAACAGTTTTGTGAAGAGGAGTGGTCCAAAATTACTCCAGATCGTTGTGCAGGTCTGATCTGCAACTACAGGAAACGTTTGGTTGAGGTTATTGCTGCCAAAGGAGGGTCAACCAGTTATTAAGTCCAAAGGTTCACATACTTTTTCCTCTCTGCACTGTGAATGTTTACATGTTATGTGCAATTAAACCATGGCAACATCTAATGTTTGTGTAGTATTATGTTCAGCAGACTGTGTTCTTCTATTGTTGTGACTTAGATGACGTTCAGAGCACATTTTATGCCCAATTCATGCAAAACTCCACGTAATCCCAAGGGGTTCACATACTTTTTTTGCAACTATGTTTGCCTTGCCTCCAAGATTGATAGAATGTATCTATATATTTTTTGCTTTGTTTCCATTATTTCAGGTTGAAGGATATAATAGAAATACTCTCGGTTCACACAAATGCGATGCAATTTTCTTGTGACTATATAGTGTGACTTGCTTGCGACTTTGATCTGACTTCAATGCAACTTTACTCACAGAAGTTACATCAGCATAAATAAGAAGTAATTCCTATGAAACTTTGATGAGTCACCTCTCCTCCCAGGTCATCCTTGCTGCCTAAAAACTTTTTTCCCAAGCAAATTCCATTGACACCTGAGTGTAGCAGAAACGCATTCCTGTTCACCTTTTTTGCACGTTTTTCAAATATCACGCATAGGGCAGCCAACTTACATGAATGAGCTGCCCTATGTGCGACAAATGCCCCAAAGTAGCTCAAGAACCTTTGCAGTCCTCCTATGTTTTTTCAGCGTGCATTTTAACGTGTTTGTAGCACAACAAACATGTGGCAAAATATGCATCTGTTAACTGTAATTGGGCATTATTAACAATTAGGCTGCATTCACATTTGCATGTTTACGAACACATAGCAACCTGCACAGAAATTGTGAGTTATGTCATGCATTTCAGAAACAAAAGCAGACATGGTTCTTGAGCTGCTTTGGGGCAATTGTCACTTGTAGGGCCGACCCCGTTTACGCACAAAAAAATTGCAAGCGGGAATGCACATTTTCTTCTGTGCTCAGGTGTGAATGCAATGTGTTTGGGAGGGGAGTTTTTTAGGCACAAAGGATGACCTGGGAGGAGAGGTGAGGGTTAAAAAAAAACAAACAAAAAACTAGCTTATCAAAGTCTCAAAGGAATGCTTCTTATCTAATGCTGATGCAACTTCTGTGAAATAACACAGAGGTATATGGGGCTGAAATGGCACTGGAGTGCTGAATCGCATTGATTAGGATGGGTTCCTTTGAAAACAATGTGTTTTCCCTTGTCATGCGATTCTCAGTGACTCAAGTCACATTAGAAGTTGCACTAGTGTGAACTAGGACTTTTTATTTATAGCCATTCTTTAAATTGTGACATTTTCTCCCAGTATGTGTTAGGATATACCGCCTTACATCTTCTAATTATAAAACTTGGGACATTAACCCCTTAGTGAATGCATTACTCAATTCTTCTTGATTCATTAAGGGACACAGGGTTGATGATAATTCTGAGACAGTCAAGTTATTACTGCTGCCTTTAGGAAGAAATGGACACACTCAAAAAAAGAAGCCAGCCAAAAATAACCCATCTCACCCTCAAATGCTTTGCTAGAGTCCATTCACCTGAAGGTACACAACCATGGTGTATGAATATTGTGTCCTGTTGCTGTACTCCAGGATATGTACAGGTAAAAATTGCTCTTTTTTTGTTGCTTATAAAGCTCTACTGTCTCCTGTTTTGCCATGTCAATAAATATGCACACATCAGATCCTAGTGCTGTTGTGCAGTGGATGACAGGGGTGAATTTTAAGACATATTTAAATTTAGTTTCATTCCATGAATTACAGTAAAGAATGTTTAGGTAGCAGTATCTCCCCCTCATCCCCACCCTCCTTATACTTACGGGATTGAGCCCGATGGTGTGCCTTAATAGGAAGCTGCTTTCTATGGTAGCTTACCGAGAAGAGGGAGGAGGGCTGATGGGTGACCTGAGAAGAGAAGGATCAGAGCCGCTCTGTGCAATTCTTATGCACAGAGCAGGTAAGTATATCATGTATGTTATTTAAAAATAAAAAAAATAATGTAAAAAAAAAAAAAATATATCACTTTCAGGTAGGTATGCAAACTATGTATAACTACATTTATTCTTAAATGGGTATACAACTCCAATAAATGGTGCCTGATATCTGCCTAGAGTTCGGGTTTTAACCATTATTCAACAATCTGATTACCAGACTCATTCAAATTATTATATCTGCTTCATCAATTTTTTTTCTGTAGAAATGTGTGCAATGCAATTATTTATCCGGTTAGTTTAGCAACTCCTGGTCATAATTCAGTTTTTTACATTTGCGTTTTGTCTTTTTAGTAGAAATTTTAATAAGGAATAACAAAGATCACCTATCTATGCAGTTAAGAGAAGTACACAAAGCTCTTTTTATTTTTAAATAACATTGTAAACTCTATAGCCTGTATCAATTTGCCTTTGTCATTAGCACAATTGCAAAATGATACTGTTACTTGTATCTGATCTCTCAAGGACTCTAGATGGCAATATAGGCAGTGTGTATGGCAGTGTGTGTGGTGTGTCTTGCAATTAGAATAAATGCTCTAGTACAACATGACACAGCGTTTTGATGGATTGTTTTAAACTTAGAAGAGCTGAAGATATTTCACACATACACACACTCCCCCCCCCACCTTGTTGTCAATAGGAATATGCTTTATCATCATAAATTTCTATTGTACTAAAGGCAAATGCTAAGAACATTGAATATTTTAGCCAAATTAAATTTGGTGTCTTACAACTGACATTAAAATGGGCAGTAATTTCATGTTGTCAGTTATTCAATTTTTCTATTTTCAGGTCTCTCAAGGATTTTGAAAAGTAGATTGGAAATGACAAGAAATCGGCAGGTAGACTGGGCATTGGCTGAGTACATGGCATTCGGGTCATTGTTAAAAGAAGGGATACATGTCAGACTAAGTGGCCAGGATGTTGAGAGGGGGGACCTTTAGGTATGTTTTCCTTCCTTTTTTTAAGACAATAATCTGGACTAAAAAGACTGGGGCTTGAGCCTGCAGCACCCTTTATTTTTTACAGTAGGTGTTCTTTTTAACATGCAAATAGCTTCCAAGTAGGATGCCTTTAATTCATTATTTTTAAACATTGAATTTCTATTGGAAAATGTTAATATTTGCAAAAAAAATAAAATGTTGCTTCTATTTATGTGGGGGTGGGAGAATACAAAAATGCCCCTAGTAATTTCCCCTTCATCTGACTGAATCATTGCTTTTCCCAGTAGCTTTTCCTCACATTACCACACAATACTGGAAATAATCGCACAATTATAGCAGACAGACCCTCTCTTTTAGCACACTGGAAGAAGAACTTGACTGGAAATGCACAAAGTAAATCACAAACCCATCTAGCGCACTACAGGTCCCAGCTTTCCAAATCCAATGTCCAATTAACTGCGGGTATGGGGGAATCGAATCTCAGGGTGGACACAGCCAAAGGATCCTCCAGCTACCAATAGACCCCGGGAGGCTCCAAAATAGCTTGAAGAAACAAACGAACAGCAGCGCATGATCTCTGTCAGTAATATATGTGATTTTATTAAACAAATAAAGTTTGCATGTTCTCCCTGTGCCTGCATGGGTTTCCTCCTGGTACTCCAGTTTCCTCCCACCCTAGAAAGACATGCTGGTAGCTCAATTGGTTCCTGTCTAAATTATCCCTTATGTGTATGTATGAATGTGAGTTAGGGACCTTAGATTGTACACCCCTTGAGGGTTAGGGAATGATGTGAATGTACAATATATGTGTAAAGTGCTGTGTAAATTGATGGCACAATATAAGTACCTGAAATAAATAAATAATAATAAATAACATCAAGTGTGTATGGTAAAGGACCATTTGGAATCCCTCAGCCAGCATATTGAGCAACTGAATTTCACAACTGTCAAAAAAACCAACACTGCCTCGTGGATCTCTGTAGTAGGGCAAGGAGTGGGCAATAACACGTTTCAAAGGACACACCTTCTTTGTCATAACTTTTTTTTTTTTTTTTGTCAGTAACCTCAGAACAGAAACAGGTTGGAGTCTAAAGTTAACATTATGCATTTTGTAATGTATGTACAGTAACTGACCTAAAGAGCAGTGGCGTCCTGAGGCAGGTGCAGGGGGTGCGATCCGCACAGGGTGACACCGACCGCACGGGGTGACACCGGACCCGCTCCACAAAAAGGTAAGTTGTATAGAAAGCCGCCGATCCTCGCAGAATGGATCGGATCTGCGGATTGAGCATAATGGATCGGAGTCCGATCCATTCTGCAGGGATCGTTGGAGGGGTGTCACCAAGTGTTACCGCACTGGGTGACACCAACCCTAGGGGCGCCTCTGCTAAAGAGTATTTCATTTTTCTAAACAAAACAGTAGATAGCTCTATAAAGTTGGGCTAACAGTTTTGCTAGAGTAGATGAACAAAGAACTGAAATGCCTGTCCTAGAGAAAATGCTGCTCATTGTGACTTGAGTCACAGACTCAAAGTTTAGGCCTTTGATTGCATTATCCCTTTTAACCCTTTCGATATCACTGATGCAAGGCATATGATGGATCAGAACTGCTTGCATCTGGCCAGGTCAGTATCTTTTACTTTGGTTGCATTCCTGCATTTGTTTACAGACTCCTACATTTGTAATACAACCCCTGGCAAAAAAATATGGAATCGCCACTCTTGGAAAATGTTCATTCAATTGTTTGTGTAGAAAAAAAAACTAATCACAGACATGCCTCAAAACTATTTTCATTAAACATTCCAACCTTCTGGCTTTAAGAAACAATTAAAAAAATAAAAAAGAAAGATAACTGTAATCAGTTGCAACAGGTTTTGCCGATCAAGCAGAGGAAAAAAATATGGAATCACTCAATTCTGAGGAAAATATGATGGAATCATGAGCAAAAAACACTACAGTACACCACTAGTACTTTGTTGCACCACCTCTGGCTTTTATAACAGCTTGAATTCTCTGAGATATGGATTTAACTATCGACAAACCGTATTCATCAATCCGGCCCAATTTTATCTCATTACACTTGCTGCCAGATCAGCTTTACAGGTTGGAGCCTTGTCATAGACCATTTTCTTTCATTTCCACCATAGATTTTCAATTGGATTGAGGTCCGGACTATTTGCAGGCCACGCCATTGACATTATATATCTTTCTTGAAAGAAAGTTTTCACAGCTTTTGCCCTATGGCAAGATGCGTTATCATCCTGAAAAAGTATGTCATCATCACCAAATATCCTTTCAATTGATGGAATAAGAAAAGCGGCCAAAATCTCAATATAAACTTGTGCATTTATTGAAGATTTAATGACTGTCCTCTCCCCCCCCCGTACCTTTACCTGACATACAACCCTATATCATCAGAGATTGTGGAAATTTGCATGTTTTCTTGAGGCAGTCCTCTATATACATTTCATTGGAATGGCACCAAACAAATGTTTCAGCATCATCACCCTGCCCAATGCAGATTTGTTATTCATCAATGAATATCACTTTCATCCAGTCATCCACAGTCCATGATTGCTTTTCTTTAGTCCACTGTAACCTGTTTTTTTTTCTGTTTAGGTGTTAATGATGGTTTTCCTTTGGCTTTTCTGTATGTAAATCCCATTTCCTTTAGGCAATGTCTTACAGTTCAGTCACAGACATTGACTCCACTTTCTGCCCATTTGTTCCTTATTTCTTTTGTTGTGCATTTTCTTTTTAAAGGCATATTGCGTTAAGTTTTCTATCTTGATGCTTTGATGTCTTCCTTGATCTACAGTACATTTCCCTTTTACAACATTCCGATTTGATTTGTACTTGGTCCAGATTTTAGACACAGCTTACTGTGAACAACACACATCTTTTTCAACATTCTGTGATGATTTACCTTCTTGAAAAAGGTTTATAATCCTCTCCTTTGTTTCAGCTGACATCTCTCATGTTGGAGCCATGATTCATGTCAATCAGCTTGGTGCAACAGCTCACCAAGATGTGCAAGTACTCTTTTTAACTGAAGACTAATTAGCAGATTTAATCTTGTGCACATGTTTGTTTTAGAATTGCAAAGCACATGGTGATTCCATAATATTTTCCTCAGAATTGAGTGATTCATATTTTTTTTTATCTGCCTGATTTGCAAAAACAGTTGCAATTGACTACAGTTTTCTTTCTTTTTTATTTTTTAAGTGTTTATTAAGGCCAAAAGGTTGGAATGTCAAATGAAAATAGTTTTAAGGCATGTCTGTGTGATTTGTTTTTTTTTTCCTACACAATTAAACACTGAAATTACCATTCTCCAAGAGTGGTGAATCCATACTTTTTTGTCAGTGGTTATAGAAAAAGTATGAACTAAGGCAGTCCATAGATTACTTTATTTTCTTTCCTTTCATCATGGGTGGAAGTAAAGAAAATAGCTCAATTCTCCCTTCAACACAGTCAGATTGCTTCTCGCAGCGCTACTGAGTTTTGCCGGTAGGCGAGCACGTGGCGCCTTCCCGGCTGGCAGAACACAATGGTTACTGTTAGTGGCTATAGCTGCTGGCAGTAATTGAATGTCAAAAACATCTAACAGACTGGTTGTACCAAAGTCGATAGATGGATTGACTTGAGTACAATCAGCCTGCTCATACACATTAATATTCTTTTCATTCACGTGGGCTGCATAAATGAATCTCCTGCTGTATGCTATAGTATTCTGACAGCGCTGCTGGCTCTCAGAATATCTGAACAATGCCTGCATTTGATTGGATGCTAGGGCTGTTCACTGACAGTTTTCCCCTTGGCTCCTTTAATCCAGTGTAGACGACAGCACCACCCACAGAGCGAATTTAGTCTTATTTTGCGTGAATTGGATAAAATTTGATGCATGTATGGCAAACTTTACTGTCAAGTATTACATGCCTTGGTCAAGCTGCCTTTTGATTAGTGTGGACAGTTTTGTGGAATATAAACATCAACCTGAGTAAACATTAATTTTGTAGTATGACAGGAAAATGTGTCATATTCAGTACATTTTGATTTCAACTTGGACTATACCTGTCTATAAGTATTTCATACTTGACCTGCAGCCCTATGTGTTTGTATTACCTATTTGGTGAATCCTAATGTCCTTATAATAGGCATTACATTCACCTATAAAAAAAAATATATTAACGTTGAACTCTAGGCTACCTGCAATATATACCTATGTAATACATACTGTATAGGAGCACTATTTTAACTGCTAAATACTGTAATTTGTATTTGTTTGGCAGTGAACCAGACCCCTATTTTTCTCTGCTGCAGTTAAGCAACACTGACAGGTCTTTTCCCTCCCCCAGCCTCTGACTGGGCAGTAAAAGGAGAAGCAGCAGACTAATAAGATCATTTCACTGTCACTCTGTTGTCTCCTCCTGACAGCAGGTTCCTTTTTGGCACATAAGCACTGCAGCATACCGAATTGTGTTCTTGTGTTGCCTCTTCCTCTCCCTCGATCTCTGCTATACACTGGACTGCAAGAGGCTAATACAAACTTAAAATACTTACACTGCTTTTGTAAAAAAAATACATTGCATTATGTATTAATAAAAACAGAGTTGCATTAATTGTTATATTTGCATGAATTTCAGCTTTAGAGTCTCCATTAAATCTTTCTGTATAGGGTCTAACTGTATGCCTGTGTTTCAAAGCAAACCCAAACACTAATGGCATGGCACATCAAAGCAGAGCATAGCCTTATTTTCCCTGTGTTGCCTACATGCATATGTTATGCATTACAAAACCATTTCTGTTTATGGGCGAGAATTGTCTGATATGCAGAATCCTGCCTATAATTTACTTAACCTGTACCATGCCACCTGGTTTTAATTACACTATTAATCGGCACATATTTGAGCGGGCAATTTGTCCCTGACATACATTACAGCAAAGGAGGGTGCATGGAGACCATCACTTTCACTTTGTTTGACACTGGCAGCTCTGGAGCAAGTAATCCACATAATAGGTATTATCA